CCCCAGGAGAACGATGACGACTACTGGACTGAATGGCAGCCCGACTACGATGACAGTCACACTGGCCGGATGACCGGCGGAGGTGCGGAACGCAATGTTGCTGACACCTCGACTGACCGTGCTGCCTACCCCAAGTCCACAGAGTTCAACAGTGGCCGCAAGGCTACACCCACTTCGACGACTACCAAGGTTCAGAAGCCAGATGCCCCACTTCAGTCCCATGACGCCTATGAGGTCATCAAGGACTTGAACCGCATGAAGCGCAAGGCAACTGGTGACACTGGTACTACATCGAGACCCTCGTCTTCATCTTCGGTTTTGCTGGCCGCCAACGCGGAGGACAGGACCAAGCCGTTCGACGTCTTCACCGCGACCGCGGACGTGCAGAAGCAGATCGAGGAGAAGAGGTTGAAGGCCCGAGGCCATACTTCATCGGCTCCGGAAGCCATTCGTGAAGCACAAGAACGTTTGGGACTTCCGGTGATTGAGGAGGAACCTGGTTTTTTGTGTTTGGGATCTTCTCAAACCGGTCCCCAAGACACCGCCCAAGGTTGACCTGGACAAGGTGAGAGTGGCCTTGGTGGTTTCGAGTGAACTTCATCCTGGACTTCCTGGACCCGACGAACCTCGACCTCATCACGTACCCACTCACCGTGGCCGCATTGAGTATGAGAAGGGCATCGAGAGCATCTACTCCCGCGACACCTCCACTCTCTCAGATGAGCAGTACGAGGAGAGGAGACGTTGTGGTGGTTTGGTGCATGGCGGAACCCGCAGGACCAGCCGCAAGACTTTGAGCCGGCAGACAACCAGTGCTGCCAGTCCTCGTGGCCCGGTCCGCTTCTTGGACTACGACTTCGCCATGAAGATTGTCTTCCCAGAGGACGACTTGAGCATGCAGGAGTTCCTCGTTGGCGGAGATCGAGTACCAAGAGACGTCTGGAGCAACACTCGCATGAAGCCCACGGTCAAGGACAAGACCGCTTACTTGACCATCGACACGGCATGCGAGAACACTGTGGGTGGACTCACCCAAGTCAGGCAAGTCGCCAGCATCATCGAGTCGAAGCACAGCGTGAAGCCCCTGATCACCGAGGAGAACGAGTCCTACCGTTTTGGACCTGGAGAGCCCAGAACTTCGAACCACAGGTGGCACATGCCAGTTGGCATTGGAGGCTGTGCAATGGTGATCAAGACTTCCGTGCTGGACGACACTTTGCCTGAGAGTGGCAAGATTCCTTGGCTTGCTGGGCAAGACTGGCTGCGACTGGTCCGTGCAGTCGTAGACATCGGAGAGCAGAAGATCTACCTCAAGGCCCTTGAGACTGAGGCGGAGCTTTTTGTAGACCACACTGGACACCTTGTGGTCGCGGTAGATGATTTTCCAGTCACTGGATGGCCGCAGGACCGTCAGGCATCACAAGACGCCTATGCTGGAGTCCTTTGGGCCACAGGAAAAGCCTACATGCAGCCGAATTTTGCAGCCACTCATGTTTATAGCCCCGAGGATGATCCTTTTTGTGATGGAAGTTTGCAGGAGAGAACCCCTTGCATCGTCGCCTCCGACAAATGGGAATACCTTTTGGATCACCCTCAGGTCTATATTAGGCACCACCACCGTCCAAGGACATCTCGTTTTCATCCTGAAGAAGTTGTTGACGGTCCCCAACCTGATGAACTCCAGTCCGTAGGGGTCACCATCAAGCACGGTTACCAGAACGAGTTGATCGATGTTTGGGATGCCCCTCAACGTCTTCTACATGAGGAGCCCTGGACTGGATATACGGTTCTTTTTGGTAAAGATTGTGACCCTGGTTTGGATGTTGGGCCCCTTCTTCCTGCATGGCAACCACAGGGTGTCGACGTCGTTTTCGAGAACGCTGAAACGAGACGTGTGCACCCAGCTTCAGTGAAAACTTCAGTTCAGAAGAGAATTTTGAAATCTTTTGACAAGTCAGTCAAGTCACCTGACCTTCCCATCGATCGCCAAGCTGTGAGATTCAATGTCCCGGCGGAAGAGTTCGGATCAAGCTCACGATCCCGTGCTCGCACCGCAGCCCCACAGATGCAAAGGCATTCGAAAGCCAAAGACGACTTTGTGTGGCTGCGATGGAGCCGCCTGCTGCGCAAGGTGATGATCTACCTCAAGGCGATCGTCTGCAGCCTGGCTTCAACTCGCATGATGAACCAGTTGAAACACCGATCACCAGCTTTGGTGGCCTATGGGGAAGCCCTGATCTCCCACGACCAGATGATCGAGGAGTGGAATCCGGAGGCCTTGCCACCGACCATGCCCCC